TTTCCTTTCTGCATGCATTTACATGAGGTGTTCAGACTTAATTCAAAGAAGAGTGATGTAGCAAAAAGATATGCCACAGCTGATTCTTCTTATTTTGATAAAGATATTTAATGCCATTTGCAAAACTAGCATTTAAAGTAGTTTTCTTTAGAAGATTGCAGGAAGAGTAACAGGAGACAGAAATCAAGAAGATTCAAATACAACTCTTAATTTGTTTGTTCTAAATTCTTTGTAAATTAGTTTCACTGTGAGACTTAACTATCTCATGATGATGAAAAAGAGATGAGTGCTTAAATGATGCTAGAAGACGTTCACAAAATGCTGCTTTGTCTGGTAGACTCTTAAACTCCTTTGTAAATTCTGCAACAGTATACACACACACACAGTAAAATCCTATCAAACTCCTTAGCACCTGTTTTACGAGTAGAGTCTGTCAAAATTGGGTATCTATTCAAAACCATTTCCACTTGTAGGGCTTAATATGTTGATATCCATCACCTAGGGCTCAGGCAAGAAGGAAGTGACCATCCTCCTTTCTTCATCCACTATATCAGACATTCACCCAGATTATGGGAAGGGCAGCTCTGGAAGACTTGTAAAGGACTTGATATCACATCCTTGCCTTACAGTAAGTTGCTTGATTGGTGAGTCTTAAACTGTTCAGAGATGAGGGCTCTCATTTTGGTTGTGCTCCTCAAACTTGTGCTCTTTTCTGTTATGATAAGGTGAGTAAAAGCCCAGCAACTCACTGCCATAATTTCCAGAGAAAAGTTATGATCCTTAGAGGTTCTTCTCATAGGGCAATTTATCATGCTTCTAAACAGCCACAGAATGGGCATTTTCAGCTTACACGAGTTCACCCATCTCATCTTGCACAGCCTGCGATTTTGCTTCAGGGCCATGCAGGGTTAGTGCATTCCGGATAGGAATGTAAATTATGTTTACCTTTTTTGTGCAAGGTTGCACCAGACCAACTTTCAGAACAGCAAGTCTTCCTGACTTTATTCAATTCATGGGGAGTAAGTGCAATTTGAAGTTTTACTGCTAGTCTGGACATGTTTATGTTAAAAGGAAGTGTGATGGTTACTGAGTTTGCATAGTGGTAATAAGGATAGGAAACCCATGCTAACTGAGTGTTATGACCCGCCCTACCAGGCAGGAGTAACTTTTGTTTTATTATTAAATCCCTTGGAGTGATTTAAAGTAAAACAATACTAAATGATCAGTGTTTGCAGATATATAGGATTTATTTTAGAACAATTTGGTTGCAAAGGAAGACAGGTATGTAGCTGTTTTGATTGTTATTATCTATAGTAACATGGCAATATAAAGAATAAGGGTATTGCAGAGTAAAACAGATATTTAACCATTTTGGTTGTAATATGTATGGCCAGTCTTTGCGAGCGAAGATTTGGGAAAGGTCATTAACCCTTTGAGCCTGCGCAGTGGATTTTTTAGGTGAGACCCAGTGTGCGCTGAACTGAGCCCACCCTTTAATCCTGAGGTTCATCTGCCGGGGCCGAGCAAGCTTGGACAGTGGCAGTGAGGGCCCCAGAACGTAGGTTTGTTTAGAGTGACCTTCTCTTAGATGGATTGCCTTACAGGGCTGACGAGCTCCATCTGCCCGGGGAGCTGGGAATCGAACCCAGGTCGCAGCAGTGAGAGTCCTGCACCCTAACCACTAGACCACCAGGGGCCCCTGGTTGTAATATAGCCACCCAAGAAAAATGTGTAAGGAAAAAGAGAGAAAAAGAGAGAGAGAAAAGAATAAAGATTCATAGTCACCAGGTAGAAGTCTTCAATGAACTTGGTGTTTGTTGTCCCCAGTGTCTTGGTCCACTCGGGAGTGGTGGGGGAGAGAAGCCCGTGAAACATTCAATGGGTTTATATATCTTCAGAAAGCCCCCTGGTGCCATCCTACGGAGGGAGGGGGGGAAACCACTTTTGCAGAGTCTGGAAGCTCTGGTTTTTGCAGTCATTTAGGTTTGGGGAGGGGGTGCTAAGAGGTCTTCTCCGGGGTAGTCGTGGATGTGCACATAGGGGCCTCCTTTGACACGACCTGGCCCACAGGAGATAAACATCACACACCCGGAGAGTGCCACTGATCTTCTTTAGATAAACATCACACACACCTAAAAAGCATCACACACCCAAGACTTTGCCCCTAGGGCCTCACAAATCTAACAGCTTGTGGGCTATGGCCTCTTCCCTTCAGCAGTATCTTCAATCCCCTGGCAGGTGACTTGCACAGCTCGCCCCAGTAGCAATGTTTTAAGGCAATTAAAAGAGTCCAGTTCCTCACACTGAGGTCAACAAACGTCTTTAAATTGTTTGGATGCGAGTGCTTGCTTCCTAGTAACTGGCATCTTTAGAAAGAGCTTCCCACTATTCTGGAACAGAGTTCCTTGCAGTCATAGTCATAAACAGTCTGGAGATTTAGACCTAGCAAATCAAGGATTTCTATTTTTAAAAAGGAACCTATTGAAATTCAAAGGGCTGCCTCATAAGAGCTTGGCTTATGACAGCGATATATAAACGTACTAAGAATAATATACAAGTTCATTACAGGCGATTTTTAGCATACAATGGAATGGTCTTGGAAGAACTGAGAAACAAAGTTTTAAATAGATTTGTGTAAAGTGTACTACCTAATACTTGGGGAATTGTGTTTTGGTGGGTCCCAAAGCAGTGACAAAGGTCTTATTGGAAAACAAAGAGTTTTTGACTGCTGAATGAGAATTTTCCTTTAGTGACCAGATATAATATCAAGATTTTTGTTTTATCAGTTGCAATCATCTAAAGCAAAATGCAGTTCTTTCACTGCAGCCAAATAACTAAAGAAGAAACACTATCAGAGACTATTCTTAATATTGGTGAGGCAATTTGCTGCAAGAGTTATCTTGAATTTTTCTTTCCTAAGAGAAGGGGTTTTTTACTGTACTTTTACTGTATGGCTCTTTTACAGTATATTTTTTAAATATGAAAATAGCCTATCAGATAAAGTGTTTGCAAAAAGTATTTTCTAGAACAGTTTTAAACTGCATTTGCACTGTAGCAAAAGAGGTGTACAGCATTACAGTGAAAGATATGCTAGAAAATACACATATTTGCATTATTTTGTCTTCTTGTTTAATGTTCTTAATCATATTTTTGCCTCATCTGCAAAGTTTCATCACATAGTATTTATACTTCTCAGGAGATTTCTGTGTTTTCTTCCAGAAAGGTGAGATTGTCATTTAGATGTTGTTCTTGAATTTGTTCTGGTTTTCTTTGTTGTACCCAGTTCCTGTATTCTTGAATTCTAATTTCTTGTTAAGTTATTTAGGTTTTCATGAAATTTCAATAAAACTCAACCTTATGTGGGACACAAGCCATTTTTGAATAGGAATATCAGTGTTGTGAATTCTCATACTGCTTTAATGTTACTTGCTTTGTCCCTGCAGGTTTTAACATATTTGCTTCATGGAGAGAAAGCACATAGAAACTTATCTTGCAGTGTCAGCTAAAAGTACTTCTTTTGTTCTGTATCTTGCTGTCTTTGTATTCAGATAAGCATTATTAGTTCAGAGGCATTTAGTTTATGTGGATTAATAAAATTCGGGAAAGGAACTTTCAAATGAATCTTGAAAGCAAGTCAGAGTATGAATCAGACTTACTTAGATGCAGAGAATGTTCTGAAAAGAAACATTACCTTATGTTGATAATAATCGGATGTATGTTGTCCTCCAGCTTATTACAGAGTGAATCTCAGCATTTTGCAGTTAGTGTTCTATAAAAAGAATATTATAAAACTTGATTATCTTGTTTTTACAAACAAAGCAATAAGAACACCCTAGTGTCTTGATGTTTTCCAGTGAGATTTTGCTTTGTTAGTGGGATAAAAGGTTATTGGGCAGCTGTGGCAATACAAAATAGACTAAGCCTTGTTCCACTACAACATCTGCATATAAATTTGTGTGGATTGGGTTGCAGGAGGAATTTTAAAAACAAACAAAAATACAGAAAAATTTGTCCCCAGCCTATTTAGACTCCTGCATGGTAAATAACAATAAAATATATCTCTTCAAGCTATCCAGAATTTTTCCTTACAATTATATTTGTTTTATTTTATAATTTGAGTCAGGTAATTTAATTAGTTATAATTTGAATAAATTCTTATGCAACAAAATAAGTAATTCTGTTCCCTATGAAATGCCAACAAAAATAAACTTTGTGGAATACAGGCCAGAGCTGGGTTTCATGGAACCTGAATAGCCTTAGATATGTTCATAGAATGAGCACAGAAAGCCAAAAGTTGTCATATCTATCCCACAAGGTGTTTTGCTTCAGGTCAGCTCCCCTTCAGGGTTACGTGCTATGCCTTTGCACAGACTTACTAGCACGGTGACACAGCAAAGCTTCCAGTCCAGGAGCTGTGCAAAAACAGCTGTGAGATGGGGCAGGTCCTCCAACATGCACATGTAAGACCTGACCCTAAAATTTAGGTAGGAAGTGCTAGGTGTTTGAGAAGTATGATGACAGATTAAAATTCAGATGCTTTTCAAATGCAAAGTGAAATACTTCAGAAGGAATAATTTGAACCATTCTTGCACTCTAGCAGGTCCTGAACTAACAGGGAAAAAAAAGAGGTACCAATGTGAGCAACTGAAAGAAAATTTCTGTTCAACATCCATCATTAGTCAAAAAACAATGTGAAGAATATGCATGAAGAATATGAAGGAAAATATGATGTTCAACAGATATAAGCCTGTATCATAGTGTCAACAGGAAAGCAGAGTACTTTGTACTACTACTCTGCTGTGTTTACTCAATAATGTAATAAAGATAGCATATGTTTACTAGTACTTTTCCATGTTTTAAGACTGAGAAATTAGACTGGCTAAGCTTAAAAGTTGTGTGGAATACTGATTTTTTGGTTTGCTTTGTTTAGTTCTCCCTGTTAGGAATATCATTCACTCAAAGCATGAAGAAATTAATGTTTGTTTTTTTCTGCTGCACAGAACCTGAAACGTGTGGCAGAGACATGGATGGATGAGTTTGCAGAGTACATTTACCAGCGACGGCCTGAGTACAGACATCTCTCAACTGGTGATATCTCTGCCCAGAAGGAGCTGCGCAAGCACCTGAAGTGTAAAGATTTCAAGTGGTTCATGGCTGCAGTGGCTTGGGACGTCCCAAAATATTACCCACCTGTGGAACCTCCACCTGCTGCTTGGGGCGAGGTGAGGAATACACAAATTAGATCAAATTTAAATGAGTCTAATATTTTAGATTGTGGGAAATGAAGATCATTACTTCAGACTTAAGCCAGTGATCAGTAGTGTTATTATAGGAGTTCACAGTGGTTGGAACAATCCCTGAGCTATCCATTAAAATGAAAAACTCTCATGTCTTAGAACTATCACTGTCCCCTTTATAATTCATTACAATTTTGTGTCTACAGAGCATAAGATGTATGCACAGTGAGGACAAGAATGAGGAAAAGAGTATGTAGCACTCATTATTGCATGTCAGAGGAAGATTTTAGGTTCAGAGAATCACCTTAGTAGAAAGCAGATCCGAAGTCAATGCTCGTGTTTTTTTGCATATCTACCTATATACCTCATCCTGTCCTTACAAGGACAATTGTATGGTGGTGGAGTTAGGTTTGCTCTGTTTTGCTCACATGTGCAAGTGCGACAAGTGAGGCCTGGATACTTTTCTTTTAAAAAGACTGATTTTGCTTAGCTGTTGTCTGCATTCTGTAGGTGCTGTCATGACTGAGTACCAGTAGCAGACAAATTCAGTTTCTCCTTTGATGGATGAGGGGAGGGAGAGACCACTAAAGAGAGGCCAGTATTTGAGCATCACTCCAGAGCAGGGGGTGAGCAAACAGCTGGCTCGAACTCTCCACCTGTGATCAAAGATATTCTGCATTCAGACCTCTCTGAAGAGCAGAGCTGTAGCACACTTTGCTTTGACAGTTTGTTTTGTGCAGAAGAAATAAGAACACAAAGAATGCAGGGACAGGAAATTATTTCCTTATCTTCACTGAAAAATTGCTGTGGCCTTTACCCCCAGGAACTACAGTGGCTTCATGCCATGGGAAGGTGGCATGCAGAGGGCTCTTTTCCTCTCAGATCATTAAGATCTATAAAGAAGGCTTTGCTCTTTCAGTGTATTGTGCTACCTTTTTTAAAACCATAGTAATATCTGTACTGCAAGTTCTAGCCTTCTCTGATTTTGCTGGAGGTGTTCTTAGGGCTCTCAGACAATTATCATTCATATTGTAAACCAAAGGATGAAGTTGAAGTTTTGACTAAAACATTTGGTAAGACCAGACACACCCCTGCATTTCCAGGGGTTAAGACTGGACCATAGACTCCTAAACGCCTCTACTATTCTCTATAACTTCCTTTTAAAAAAGCAAATTACCTCATAGTGAGATTTTTAAAATAACTTTCTGTGGTAGTAGCAGTCCTTAATTTTTCTTTGTAAGCTATCAGTTACAGATGTTCAAAAGAACTTCAATTTATAAGTGTCTAACTGTTTGCTACTCCTTGGCAGTAATGAATTCCTTTGTTGTTAAAGTTTCTTCTATCTTTGATGCTGCTGTCCACACTTTGTGAGTTTAATGTGTGCTAGGAAGTAAGGAGTTTATCAGTAGAAGTCAGGCTGGATCAGGTTGCTGTGACTGCTACTATGATCTTCCTTTACCATCTTCCACATGTGTCCTTGGAGGACCGTCATCATGAAATGTGACAGTCCTTAACTCAGTCAAGAGAGTCTAAGAGGAGGAAATTGTGATTCAGATATTCATTCTTTTCACAGCAATATTAATATAATCTTTGCATAAAAACAAGTATTTTTAAAAGTAAATCAAAGTTCGTAGCAGTGATATCAAAACTGTACTTTAAAAGCGCTTATTAAGTTCTTAGGAAGGATGTGAAGACCAAAGACTCTTTTTCCTCTAAAATGTGCTTTCTCTAAAACAACAATAAGACAAGTTTCAGCCCTACAGCTCTGTTTTCTCCTGAGACTGTCACATTCCTGTGCAGTTTTAATTAATTTGTTGGCACTTGCAAGGAACTTGAAAAAACTTGAAGGTTAATGGCTGTCAGAAGCTGAAAGAGGGAAACAGACTGTAATGTTACTGCTTTGTAAGAGTCAAGCAGCTCTAGAAAACTTGCTGATTATACACACCAAAAGTCTGTGCCAAGACTGACTGTCATTTAGTACCCTCTCTGCTTCCATTTGGAAATATGTTATATCTGCCAGTCTGAGAAAGGGTAAACAATGAGGTACTCAGACAATTTTGGCTCCAGTATTTTGATATTTAGCTAGTAAAAGCATGTGGTGTGAAAGCAGACAGTTTCATAGACAGCCTCTACTCCACTCCTCTTTTTTTGCAAACGCATTTGTTTAAAATCTGACTCATATATTTCTTGGCAAAATCTGTTTATAATGGAAAAGAAGGACATTTGGAAAACAAAAAGCAATCTTTCTTGCTACTCTTGTCATGGCCTTATCTCTTCTGTGTGTTTGTGCCTTTTGTCCTTTGTAGCTGGCAGGGTGTAGGTTCCCTTGATACTCTGCTCTCCCTTGTAACATCTGAGATATCTGCAGTAAAGCAATGTAACAGTGAATCCAGACAGATTAAGGTTAGTGAGACTGTCAGTTCTGTGTTTGAGCGAGGTAACTGTACTCTTTTCCACAGTGGAAAAAAGGAAAGTTTTCAATTACGTTTTGTTCTTATCCTTTTGAATATACTGGGAAGTGTGCTACCAATTGAAAAACAATAATACCCATCCCATTCTCTTTCTAAGACAGAATAATTTATTTGTAATGTGTATTTGAAATCCTAATGAAGTTGAAACAATAGGTGAGAATTAAACACCAACTGTTTTCTTAGGAAGTACTACTGGATGTACAACCTGAGATCCAGCATGAATATATTGTGCAGATATCACAGCTTTCAATGTCTTTAAAAACACATTTTACAGTAAATCAATCATATAATCTCAGACATTCTCATTTATTTTAGATTTCATGAGTCCTATAATCAAAGTGATATGAAATATTTTTTTTTGTTTTACTCAGTCAAAAGGGAGTTATTTAAGCTTGGTTCATTTGCTGTTACATAAACTTATTATTCAGTGATTTAATGAGGAAGTGTCTCAGTCACTGCAGCAGTGCTAAGCTATAGGACCTGAAGGTATTCCTTTCTTGGTCCCAAGCTCATGGATTTTACAGAACAATTTTACAGCACTGACATGAAAATGTCCCCTATGAAGTTAAGTCAAGTAGCACATTTGAAAAAAGATGAAAACCTAAGAACTCACTAACTTCTCTTTCTATTACTTCTTTTTTTTTAAAGTATGTCATCCTCATACCCTTAATGAGTCAATCTCAGCCCACCAAGTGTCACACATCTGTTGTACAAAAGCGATATAACCCCGCCCTGCACAGATCAGGTGCTGCACAGCTGGACTGTTCAAATTCTTTCATCAGGATCAGTGTCGCACTGAATAAGAGTCCACTGTTTCTTCAGTGAGGTCTTTGGCAGTGCTTGACTTCCTTTACCTTTGACTTTTCCTTTTTTATGGCTAACACAAAGGATAAATACTCTAACATTACTATGTATCAGTTGACAAGAGAGATGGTTCATTCTTCCATGCTTGATCCATTGATGTTGATGGCCCTAGGGTTGTCTGAGAATGTAAGCAGTGCATTAAAACTGGCTGCAAGAGCTGCTCAAACAAAAAAAAAAGCCACATAAATGAACATTGATAATATCTTCTAAGAACTACAGCCACTTTCTTATTTAAGGGATTAAATCCCTTAAATGGAAAGTATTATATAAACTGATACCATCAAGGTGCCTCTCTTGTTGCTGTATTAGAGCACCCTAGGGATTGTCCCAACCCCATCTCCACACTCATCATTCACAGATTACCATACTGAACATAGAGTTGTCTTTAGGTTGCTACACTTTCCCACTTTTTGCTTTTGGCACAGACAGTTTCATGTTATGATGAGCATGCAGGGTAGCTTCCAGAACCCCTGAGCTTTCCTCTCCCTGTCCAGCTCACCCCTCCTTTTCCTCAGGAAGGCTGAAGTGTATCTGGGTGATAGCCTGTCTCTGGTGCAGGCAGAGCCAGGACATCACCTACTACCTCAACAGCAAGTGCTGAAGGAACTCATTTACCTGTGAACAAAGTTGTAGAGTTTTAGAATTATCAAAGAATATTGGTCAGTATAACTGCCGGGTCCTGGGAAGCTGTGTTCTCTGTGCTTCTACCCCTCATCTGTTCTCTGTAAGGACTACGGTGCCCATGGTCTTAATATCTATGTCCCAAAGTGAGTTAGAAGAACAAAATATGTATAAGGACTTACAGATAGTGTCCTGTGCTTTTTTCAGAATGTGTTTAATTTGGAAACAGCCTTTAATATCACCACTATCTGTTCCTGTTAGTCCATACAGGGTCCTCAAAAGCATGCTTTTCTTGTACATTTATCTGTGTGTACAAATGATGGCATTTAAGGTTGAGCAAATCAGCTTTGTATGTAGCAACTCAATGCCCTACCTGCGTGGCTGATAAAATCTGTCTCCTGTTCATCCCCAGCCTCTACAATTGCACAAATATGAATGTTGGAAATGTAAGTATTAGGATCACTAGCTATTTGTTTGCTAGTTGTAACTCATAACCTCAAAAACCCTTAATCCATTGTGCTGTGTGACTGGAAACAAGGCACTTTCAATGCATATTGGTGTATACATAAGAAAAAAGCATCTGAGCTTCTGCTTTCCTTCCTTTGTTCATGGAAACATCTCAGGGGATTTGCAGGCTGTGTGGTGCTGATGCTTGGCAGAATGTTCCCTGTGGCTCTGGCTCTGACTTGATCGCTCAGTTCAGTTTCTAGCAACTGCCAAGGCCACACAGAAGCACCAGAGAACAAAAGCACAGACTTGACTGAAATGCCTGTGTTACAAAAAGAAAACAAAAAACAAACAGCGACCCCTCTGCAGCTGAAAGGATGAAACATAAAAAGGATGAGCTGCAACAAACCAGAGGAAAAACTAACTCAAGCAAACCTTTCAGGAGCAGAGGGAAGAGGAGAGGAAATAAAGAACGTGAGATGGATTCCAGCAGCGAAGGAACTAAATGTAGCTTCAGCTCAAGCCTTTTCCAGAAATGGACTGAACACATTTCCTGCACAGTCCAAATGACTGAGAATGGGATGGAGTGATGCCATCAAGACAAAATTATGAAAGCCCTTTAATCCAATAAGTATTCATTGGACATGGAGTGTATTCACCGTCATTTTAAATTCTGAATCACATAAATATACCTCAATTACTAATGACAATTGTTAGCAGCTCCATTTTAATTAACTTGCTTGCTCTAAGAATAGACCTGATGTATCATTTTATTTTCTATTAGACCAGAAATCTTTATCTCTACAATGGAAATTTAAGTGCATTCAGAAATGATTGAACATTCTCAAAAAAAAATTTTACTTGGAGTAGGTATTTCACATGAAACCTTAAAAATATTATATTAAAATCCATGCCACTCATTATTCTTTCCTGCCTCTTTTTCTGATATGAAAAAGAAGGCAGGGTTGTTGAGAACTAATTACCTTTCATCTTTTTTACTGTGGGGCTTCTCAGTGCCAGGTTTCTGGATCTGGTCGTGTGTATGAACTGATAGTGTTTTGCCTCATCTTTAGCAATTTTTATTGTATTAAAAAAAGAAAAAATATCCTAGAACTGGGTTTATCCAACTTTTAGAAGAATGCTTCTCTGAGCTCTGGTGAAGGATCAAAGGTCCTTGTAGTCAGTTGCTCAAACTGATGCTCCATCTTTCCTCGGTCTGCTCTTTTCTAGGCTAAACAAATGCAGCTTTTAAAACCTTTCCTGAAGGTGACGGTTTTTACATTTTTTGCACTACTTGTTGATTTCCCATCTGTCTAAATCTTTCTTGATCATGGTGAATAGACTCTATCCCACTCCTCCAGAGTCAGAAAAAGAGCAGAGTAGCTCTGGCCTGTGTCTTGTATGCATGAGGATTTCTCCTCGTTGCAATGTTTTGTGCTATGCTGACAAGTTTTCCATCCTTTGGATGTGAATGACGTATGCAGTGACAATATTTACATTTGTCTAGCATATTATGGCAACAATAGTGACTTTAAAGTATTTTTCATGATAAAAAACACAAATGCCAACTCAACTGTATCTCCATTCAGCATCTAGCTTTTTTTAAAATAAGAATCAAAGTAGCATCCAGAATGTCAAAATATACACCTGCTTTATTTATGGAATTTGTGCATGTGTCCATGCTTGTACGTGCACTTTGATTACTCAATTTCTGTTTATCTCATTGACAGGGTAAGTTTTTTTAAGAAATCCTTTTCATTATGGAGGTGTGTAAAGGATTTTGAACAAGATCGACTAAGGTACTCAGAGAAATGTCCATGTATTTGCAAAATAAATCAAGGATTCTGCCTCTTTTTGGTGGCAGTGGGCAACCTACTCCTTTTCAAACCAGTGTTTCAAAGAAAATATACATGGCAGCAGTGGTACATAACTGGTATGATTGATAGTCACAGATTAATTGTTACTCAGTTGCTTCAGTCTCAAGAATGAGATTTTCCTTTTAAGAGTAAGTTACACTGCAGTGTTTGCAGCAGGCATGCAGAAGGAACCTCCATGGGTAAGCATAAGCTCCAGTACAGACTTGTTAAGTACTTTTTAATTTTATGCACTTCAGGCACTAAGTGACCTTATCTGCAATGGTGTTATTGTGTCAAAGTAAGAGCAAGGATTGGAACAGGGTGTGCCTGAGTTTTTAATGCGTACTGCTCCAAAGGCTGGGAGAGACTCATACAGAAATCAGTTCCTTCTGCAGTTGATCTCTCTTGCTCTTGTAGGATGGAAGAAGCAGTCAGACCAAGCTTTGAACTACTCAGACTTTTTTTCTCTTAGTTTCTTTGCATGAGCACATTTCTTAAGACCTACCTTTCATTTGTTAAGCAGCATATTTCAAACTTGGCTGCTTCTGAAGCTGCTCCTAAAAAGAGTAGTTCATTCCAGAACATGGCTTTCTATCCTGTAAAAATAACTCCTACCAGTTTTACATAACTAACAGTGAGTCTCAAGCCCTTCAGAGTTAAACTCCTAACCCCCTAATGTTGGAAACTCTATTCTGCAGCCCGATATAATGTGAAATGTTGCTGCTTGGTTTTGCAGATTCGAAACGTGGCAGCCAACCTCTGTGTGGACAGTAAACACGGAGCCACAGGGACTGAGCTGAGGCTAGACATCTGTGTGAAGGATGGCTCAGAACGAACGTGGTCACATGAACAGGTATTTTAACAGCAGAAAATCAGGGTAAAATTGTTGCTTCCTTTTTCCAGTTTTTAAACATTTCTCTGGGGGCTTCTCCCTTTCCCAAGGCAAAACAGAGTGTAGAAATAATTTGTGCATTGTTACTGACCTTAATGGCTTTAATGGCTTTTACAAAGTACTCCTTAACATAACCTCAGAAATTCCAGCTGCCACCTGAGCTGTATATTAGTCTTCATTTCCAAAAGGAATTACAATGCCCAAAGAGCTTTTTGATGCCCCATTCTCCCTCACTGTGTCATGAAAACATGTAGATTTTGGTTCAGTTACCTGAAAATATTTTAAATATAGTACCTGGGCTTGTAAAGCTCTAGTTTTTGTCTGCTTTTATGCTTTCATCTCAATAAGCTCAATAAGTGGTTCTATTTTAAATAAATATGAGGTGTAAGCGAGGTAAATGGGGAAAAGCAAGGGGAAAAGCATTTCAGAAAGACAAGGAATTATAAAGACTCAAAAAAGCTTTTATCTAGGTTGGTTAGGTAGAAAAATATTAGCTCTCAAAAATACGGAGGAAAAGAGCTCTGATTTGTACTCACTGTGAGTGCCATAGGAAATGACCCACAGGCCATGGGTCTGGCCAATGTGAGCAAAGACAATCTAGATGGAAAGTACAACCTAACCATTTATTAGCAATTTTAGTGAGCGTGCCTTTCACAGCGAAAGGTCCGATATTAGAAAAAATTTCCAATGCTGAAGAGAAAAATTGACCTGGCAGTCATACACAGCACTTTGTAAAAACTTAAAAGCTCAGGAGAGAGGAGTTCTGAGGGTATTTGAAGTGCTGAAGTCAAGAAACCATTATCTGAGGGTACTGAGAAATGCAGGGGGAGAGGTGCATGAAACTGAGAATCTGAAAGATTATCTCAATTTAGGTAAGTGCCAACATGGCAAAAAAGGAAGTTGCTGAAAGAAGACTTCTTCAGATAGCTACCAAAGATACTGCACAGGGATAGAATGCTAAGACTAGATAAATATAATCCTGTTTTGTTTATGAAAGACATCCAGTAATTCAAGCAGTTAATTGAAGGAAGTTGTATGGTCCAGACTAGACCATCGCAGTGTTCTCTGGCTTTAAAATCTGCGAACGTTAGAAGCTCCAAACCCTCCTCAGGAAGGGAGGGAGGGAGTCCTGAGGCTGCCAGAGATGAGAAAGGAGGGAAGAAAATTGGATGAAAGGGTGAGACAAGGAAAAAAGTTAGCAGAGAAAAGGGAAACTTAAAATATCCTTTGAAAGAGTAAGAGCTTGGGTGAAGGGGAAGGGACACAAAGGGAGAAGGATGCTAGGGAGGAATCCGTGTTACAGCGTACTCCAGTGCATTGAGACGTTTGGGATCAGACTGGATATGGTCTCATTCTATATTAAGAATGAAAAATGACCTCATCAGAATCAATAAGACGAAGCTAGCACGAAGGGAATTCAACCAGCCAGCTCCTCAGATTCCAGAACCAGAGGCAAGAAGCCTCAAGCCCTTCGGTGCTCGACTTGTGCCCCAGGGACAGCACAACTCGTTTCTAACGGGTTGATGGGGGACAGCGAGTCCCCTCGCACTGCCGGAGAGTGTGGAAAGGACTGCCCGGGAGCGCTGCTCCCATGCGGCGGTGCAGTGTCCCAGGGGCAGGTGTGCCGAGCCCCGGGCCAGCCGTGCCAGCCGGTTCGGTGCCGATTCCCGAGCCAACCATCCCGTCCCGTTCGGTGCCGATTCCCGGGCCAACCATCCCGTCCCGTTCGGTGCCGATTCCCGGGCCAACCATCCCGTCCCGTTCGGTGCTCGGGCGGGGCGGCGGGCGCGCTGCGGCGGGAGGCCGGCAGGGGGCAGCACTGTCCAGCGCAAGGCGCGTCCCCCCGGCCGCTCACGGAGCCAGCGGCGGGTGCGCGTCCCACGCCCAAAGCCGTCCTTTCGCTTTTGATTCCTCTCGTTTGCTGCGGGGGGGGAGGGTGTTGTGTCAAAATCTGTGTTTGTGCAGGTGACAGTTTTTACAAGTGAAAAAATTCCCTCAAAAGTGTGTTTTAGATTGGTATATTTTGGTGGGCGTTTCTTGAGTGGTTCTCCATACTCAATCCCAATTCCCATCCTGTTAGCGGTGATGTAAGACCATGGTCTAATGAAACATCCACTGAGGAGAAGGAATGTGATCTTCCACTTGCACCACAACAAGCTGTGAAGATAATCTTTGTTAGAGAGTGGGGATAGCTGCCAAACACCTGACCAACCTGAGAGATCTTCTTTCACCCTTCTGGAGTTTGTTGCCTACATGAGTTCTGCATATGTGTATAGAAACTAACAGTATTAATGAAAATATCAAGTATTTTATTATCATATTTCAAATAGCATGAATTGACACTGAACTGGACTTGTAACTTCTGGTATAAATTTCCATGGAATTCAGTGGCAAACTCTAGTAGCTTGATGTGACCAGTGCAGCAGGTGTCAGTGCTGCTGCTGCACAGAGATGATCCTTTGTGCCACTTGGTTCATGTCATGTTACCAGGGCAGGAATTAAAAGCTGATAGTCTCAGACACTGTGCTGGGGGGTGCAGCCATTTGGCAGACCCAAGGAGAGGAAGACAACCTTCCACCCCAGGGCTATACAAACAGGCTGGGCAAACAGCAGTCAAAAGGTTTGTGGGGCTCTTGCAGGCTTTCTGGTGAACATGAGATGGGTGGGAAGCGAGGGTGAATGTCACTGTGGTTCCTAGAAGCTTTCCCAAAATTAAGAACCAGAGGGGAAGAAAAGCGGCAGAAGGATGTCAGGGCACTGTGTTCTTCCACCTCTGTCTTTCCAGAGCTAACTTCTGGCTTCAGGGAAAACTGGGGCTCTGCTGGACTGATAACCAATAGCAAAGGAAGATGACAGGCATCACTGTGTCTTATCAAGTCCTCAGCCTTGCCAGGGAATAGATGGACAGGCACCATCTCTAACATGGCACAGCAGGTAGCCATGGAGCCTGCCTAGCTCTTTGTTTTCTGCTTGGAGATATAATTCAAGTCAGAGTCCAGTCTGAAACATGGTGTTTCATCTTTGCACAGGGTACATGTTGTCCTCTCAAGTCTAATGCTGTAGTCAGAGCACAATGCCAGCTGACAGACCCCGGCCAGACAGCGAGTAATTGAGCAATGTTGTCAGGCTGGAAAGTATTAATGGTATCAAAAGGGCCTTTGTCCTATAGACAGTCCCAAGCCAGTGGCTGTATCAGGCAATCGTTCTTCAGGCCCTGTGCCAATTATAAGTGAAGCTGGAAAGCTGTATTTTCCCCAGTTACTGCATGACAGGGCTAGGCTACATGAAAAGGCAAAGCATAAGGGCTGAAAGGTTGCTTGATTGCAAATGCAGAGGATAGTGTTGTGTTTTACAGACTCTGATATGAGAGAAGGCAAAGGAGGAGAATGAGCATCCACTGAGCCAGGACACAGGGTTTCTTGGGTCCAGCAGGGAGCAGTTAACAGCAGCCCCGTGTGTTGCAGGTGAAGAATCAACCTGCTGTTTGTTAATAATGTGCCTGGGAATTTACGTGCAGCCTTGTTTCAAATCAACAAGCAGTCAGAAATGAATGAAGTACAAAAAGAGTACAAAAGGGTCCAGCCATTTATTGTAAAATCTGACACAGTTGGTTCCTAACAAAGGAACAACAAAATCCAAAGTGACAAGTGGTGGCAAAGCAGAGCATTATATACTCAGGGCTCCAGCTAATAACATGTAGCATTGTTGCACATTATGCAGTGGAGAGATAATATTTATATTGGCCAGATTCAGTGTTAACTAGAGAAAAATTGCTGTTTAAAGTAGGATAGCTTAGAATTATGAGATTGGAAGGACTGTAGGCCTTCATGTTTTGTCTGTAATTGCAACGTCTTGATAACAATTGGGTGTATAGAGAAGTATAACTTTTTTTCTGATCATTTTTTTCTCTTCTCTCTCTTAGTCCTAAAACTGAGTTCCTGTCCCTAACAAGGTTGGTTTTATAATAGTATCACTAGGAGGAAGACATACACTTGTTTATTTAAAAATAAAACTGTTTTAAAAAACAGAAGGCTAAAGAAGAAGGAAAAAGAATCTGTCCTAGTCTAAATATTGAGATCTAGTATTGCACAGATCCTGGTTTTTGGTGGAAGGGAATAAAAAACACCATTGTGTTACCATGTCTTGACTTGCAAACAGGACACGGCCCTGGTAGCCTTCAGAAACCACACAGGAGTGGAAAGAGCAAAGGTATAATCTAGATCAGGATGACCTGATTTAAAAGCTAGCTCGAGCTCTTTCATGTGTACTGATGCATTCAGTGGGTAGTAGTCCTCAAGCCAAGGTCCAGAGAGCAGCAAGAATTGGCCCCTCAGCTCACCAGTCCTGCGCAGAATGAGAAATTTGGAGAACCACTCACTATGAAAGATGAGGATGGTCCTGCAATAGGATCTCTCTCTAACTGTAGTGATGAGAGTGAGAATATCGCAGAACTACTGTTCCACACCATTCATCGAAGTATTTGTTATTCATCACTTTCAGCTGTAGGTATATTACATGTCTGTAAAAAGGTAAAGGATAAGATAAAGAAAATGGCTTCTGTAGTTTTTTAATTAAAGGAAAATTGTCTCAGGCATCTCTTTTTCTAAAGAAACAGCAGCATAGTTTTTTTCTGTGCCAAATCTTAGCTTCTGTCTTTGCTTGTGAAATGATAAGTTATCATTGTAGGAGGTCCATAATGCTTCCTCAAAGAAATATAAAGAAAAGTGGAAATAGATTTAACCTTTTGAAAAGCAGAAATTGCTTTGAAAACAAAGTTAAGGCTGTCCACTGCATTTTACTGCAGATGAATGTAAAACGCACTCTGGGAGAAAGAAGAAATAAGCAGGACACAGGGCCAGATTAAGAAAACACACTCTAGGAAACCTATAATACAGAAGAAATAGGGAGTAACAGCAGCTCACAGAGAGAACAAGGGCTTACAATAAGAAACACAACAAAAAAGGAAAATATTCAGATATATGTTTGTATTTTGGGCCTGCAGGCCAAGAGAGACAGTAACACCTCTCAAATGTGGTATTTGGATGATGGTACAGCATTGAAGGTGCAGAATTTTTAAAAGTTGTATCTTTTAGGAAGACCATGGAAAGAAGATAACCATAGCAATGAAATTGCTATATATATATATATATATATATATATATATAATTATTCAGGATCAGCCCCATGTGATATTAAGCTTCAATTTATAGCTGTTTCCATCAGGGAATGTACACATTGCAGGGTGCAGGATGCTAGATGAGGACCAAAGGGACCCTGAGAGGGGGTGCTGGAGGCAGTCTGAGCTCAATATGGGGAGCTGCTTCTCCGGACAAAAAGCTTGCATGCAGTTCCACATGAACTGTCTCAGCTAAAGAGTTTCTACTAGCAAAGTTTGCTCATTTAAAGAGGATGTCACTTTCTCAGCGTTACATTTTTATTTTTTTTTCCTACAGAAAATCAAAAGTCATGTAGAAAGCCAAAGAATAGCACTCACACAAAAGGGGAAAAAAAAAGGAAAGAAAATAAAAGAAAAGATCCCCACAGCTCTTGGCAGAGCTTCTAGGTAGTAATTTACAACCTGAAGCCTCTTTTCTGCAAGAATTGGTCCATGGGAAAGGAAAATTCACTCCACATCTTTAAACTTGATGCTGTCAGACCTGTCACCTTCATCTGATGATTGAAAGACTGCAGTGTCACAGCATCACTTCAGACAGCTGATGTCTAATTGAGAAGGATTCCTCTATTAACTGTGACCCTCCATGACTCCTCTCAGGCAGTGAGAAAAGGGATTTTGACAGGCTGCCTGTAGCTCACAGGTTTCACAGTGGAAAGATGAAGATCATTTAACATGTGTTGTTTCGGGGGAAAAAAGACAGTCAAGAGGTTATAGTAACAATGTCCTATATAAACAAAAGGAAACTGTTCACTGAATATAGGAAAGATGCTGTGATGGGAAGATATCTCTAGGCACCTTCTTCAGACCCAAATGAGAGCTAAAGGAACATCACTGACAGAAGCTTTCTGAGTCTTAGGCAGCTGAAGTCCTGGAGCATACAAATGCTGCTTTAACCGGGGTAACTAAAGGTTTTAATACAGCATATCCCCTCTCCTCTCCACAGTACTGTGTCACCAGAGATTTTTTCCTTCCCTGACACAGGGATTGAGCCTTCCTGGGGTATATTCCACATCACTGCTGATGCACTATAATTGAGGCAGTTGGTATCACTGAATTGTACACAGGCAGGATCTTGGTTAACCAGCACCTAGAGTGTGTGAAAAGGAAATCATGCATCAAGCTTTTTGTGTTGTTTTAAATGTTTTTGACTATTAATATATCATTATATTGCCTGTCTGTTTTTCTAGCTCTTCACCTTTGGTTGGAGAGAAGACATCCGCCCTGGGGAGCCACTTCACACCAGGAAGTTCTGCTTCGATGCCATTTCGCACAGTAGCCCTGTCACACTGTATGATTGTCATGGGATGAAGGGAAACCAGCACTGGAGCTATAGGAAGGTCAGAGTCACTGTGGGGCATCTCAGAGGCTCAGACTGTCTTGAACGTATATTCAGTTTAGCACAGGCTTGTGTTTTCCCATCAGGGAAGTTTGTTTTTAAAATCCACCCTGTCCTATTCCAATTTAATTTTGAGGTAATCTCTCTAGAATATGTTCCTTTCGAACATTCTGCTATTTAGGTCAAATTTAAATGAAAATGGATGTGATCCAGATCAGAGGGTGTCTGTGTTGGATCTGTTCCCTGAAAGGTGTTTTACCATTCTGGCGCTTCAAGTTACTTGTGTCATTTTAACAGGGGCACTGTTGGAAATATTTTCATCCAATGTTACAGCAGCAAGAAATGCTGCTCATGAGTTAAATGTTATTATTTTACTTCATTTTCAAGATTACAAGTGGCAGAAAAATCTCCCTCAAAAAAACCCAACAAAAAACCAACAAAAAACCCCCAATCCAACATTAAAAGCAGAGCTGTAAGCCCAAAGAAGGCAGGAGTTTATAAACTAAAGATAAGCAGCTTAGACACTACTTTGATCTGCTGAGTTTCAGCCTGTTTTTATAAATCACTGGAAACAGGAGGTCAAGCTAGAAACTGTCAGAGCCTCATTTATGCTAAAGTCCTGGTAATGCTATTGAGTTGTTGTTGTTGTTAGGTTTTTTTAATGGTTAATCAGCAAGTTGCCTTGATTAAAGATTTTGCTAATAAGCTCTGTATTCCATTCAGGATAAGGATATACATTTATCTGAAGCACTGAGGATTCCTCTCACACATGCTTCAGTTTTCTTTGACCATTGTGCCTTGCCCTCCACCTTGCTTAAGCTGAGGGCAAAGTGCCAGGAATTGGTCTTTTCCAGATAAACCTCAATACTGCTTTCTAGTTGAAAGTATATATAGTAGAAAACTGATTCAGAACCATTAAAACAGGTTTGCCCTGACCCTTTTTCTGAGTGCCTACTTATTACAGACACTGTGCCTTTTTACCTTATTTATGTTGCAAGTGGAGGTCTACCACAAGATTTTCCAGAAATGTAATCCCTTTGAAACTGAAGTATTACCTGTAAGAAAACTAGAATGTATGTGCCAGATATTTAGAGGAGATAAGCTGTGATGGCTGTATTGCTGCCTCTCTGACATTATAATGCCATAATACCTTCTTGCTTCAAAACCCTTCTGATTTATCTTTTTGCCTACCGAAGCTGCAAGAAAGAAGCTTTCATACATTTAACACTTCATTGTTGCTTAATATAGCCAGTCCATAAGACAAAATGTGGGTCTGGAGCTGCCCTCTATAAGGCTCATCACCTTTGATGAGGACAGAATACAGTAGATAACTAAAAAAAAATGACATTTGAAAAAAATATGTAGTGTGAGTTCTATTAAATTCTCTGTACAGCTTCCTTTCTAATTTATAGAAGGTTGACAGGGCTTATATAAAAATTCTCAATGTAAGACAGGCATTTCCATCTCAGCAAGAAACACCATAAAGTTTTGTTAGGGTAGAAGTACTGGCACAGTCTTAACTGTAATACAAACCTTCAGTTTGCATAAACCTTCAAATTAGGAAACTGCATTGGAATAATAGAAATATGTATACATGGTTTTCTTTAGGCTTAGTTTTTGTTTGGCTACACCATAGGTAGTTTCCCATGGTCTATTTCCTCAGATACAGGGTAGATTTATTTTAGAGACTTTTGGTAGTGTATCTATGCCTCCAAAATCGTAATGATATAATCCTTACCTAGTTTTGAAAGCATCTTGGTAATAGGATTTTGGGTGTTCTCCCCACAAACAAACAAAAAACGTACAAGAAAAGGATGTTATATTGTTTAACTGCATCTGTACTAGAGCCCTTTACCTAGAGGATGGTATGCTACTAAATCTGCACCCTAAATAAATAAGAATAATAGTCTGGTTAAGCAAGAAGTGTGTCTTTTTAAAAAAACAGAGAGAAGGTCAGCAGCTCTCTTTTATTCTCTGCACCGCTTACAGACACTGAAGCTTCCTAATGGTAATGTACCCATCCTGCCAGTAATTCTCATGCTTTAGGAAAAATGACCCTGCTTGTCAGTGTCTTATAACATGCTTAATGTGAAGCATTTCTTACCACGTTGCCATAGTACTTCTATAAAACTAGAAAATAAGAGTTTAAAGATGAGACTTTTCTCATGATCCTTTGCATCCTTGAGCCAATGGTTAGAAAAAGTTAGGGCTGTGAAGTGATTACAAAGTGCTGCAAAAGTAATTTGAAGCCAGGCACTGTTTTCAGATTCTGTATTCTTATAGCATAAAAACCCTAACAACCTGGGTTTGGATACGGGCAAATAAAAACAGCTTGAATATTTTAGTGGCAAATAGAATACCTTAGTATTTTACTTTGGGTAAGGATTGGTCTTCTGACAAAAATTTAGAGCTTAGGCCCATTACAGGCACTTTGCTTCTCATTGCAGTGCAGTCGCAGTGTTCAAACCGCATTCTTTTCAGAGGAATGAAATCAAAACCACCACTAATAAAGATGTGTCAAAAAACTGTTCGTATTCCCATACTGTTTGAACTACATCTGAGTAGCTATTTGAAAGTCTAGTAAGTTTGAGATATTAAGTAATCAATTTTCTTAGGACTAATCCAAAATACTGGTCTATAGCCAAATATACCTTTAAGAAAAGCCTGTAAGAAGAAGAAGACAGCCAAGTAGCACTGCAAACATTGCTATGGGTTGCAAGTAGAAGAATAGAATTTAATACCAGGAAAAAAATATTGACACCATATTGGAGCAATGTAAGAAATTAGGTAGATAAATGTAAATAACCTGTAATTACTAGTGATTTGGGAGAATGGCTTTAGCTTCCCAAGCCTAAAGCCATTTTCTTGAATCTGTTTGAGACTCCTAAGCATGCCGATCCAATGATCAGCAGTGCCTACAAATTTCTGTTCCTCACAATGAAGGACTACGCCTCTGGTTTTCAGTGTAGCATCATTCTGGGCTGACAGGTAATACATTGGTTCTGATAAAGTATGATTCAATTTATGTGCCATAGGCCCACTAGTGCTATTTGTAGAGCACAAGTATCCAAGAGAGGACTGATTTAGTAGGTCTTTAAAAAGGAACAATTGTGCAAAATCAATTACACCATAATTTTACCCTGAGTCTAGTGCTTATGATAGATGCTAAACTGACAATGTCAAAAACTGTGCCCAGAAGACAGTGGTTTGCTCATAGTCTCCTGACAGCTTCAGGGACAAACTGTAAGAATAAGTTCACTCTTGACACAGTAGGTGCTTAGATTATTTCCTCAGACAGCTGAAGACATGTCATTGTGATAGTACCTTTTATAATATGGGCATCTGTCCTACTGAAACTGCACTGGGGCTACCAACTAATTTCAGATAAACTACTGCAGCCACCAGCTGATGATGACTTCCAGTTGCTCTTGAGATTGGCTATAGTTACAGCAGTGACCTAGAAGAAATGAAAGGCTCTGTGTCTCATTACCAACCCCCTGAACTGTCAAGACCCATTATCTTATGGAGGAGTTCCTCCTTCTGCAAATAATCTTCAGGCTAGCCATCATGCAGAAGGAAAAAAAAAATCCCTCTGCTGTTTTCAGATGTCAGCAATGTCTCCAAAATAGCATTTGTGGTTTCTCAATGTTGGTGTAAAGAGGAATTTATGTATTTCTCTTGTAAAGTTCTTTGCTAGGGTTCATGCAACTGTGATTCCTTAAAGTCCTGAGCCTGTTTCTGTAAGAGCAGTAGGCTTTGACCTTAGGTCAGCATAAGCTTGAGATTATAAATTAATAGGCCTTTATATATAGCTAAGTCAGCCAGAAGTTTTTCCAGAGTGGTAACTCTGTGCCTATTCTTAAAAGACACTCTTCTCTCCTAATAACCAGACTCTGAAAGAAAGCACAATGCTTCACTCAAAAATTGCATCCCTGGGATATTTCTGTGAGAAGAAAAACTGCCCGCTTTCTGGAAAGGCTGGAGTGTTTTTCATAGCAAACTTTTTGTGCTGAAGCTGTTTCCTTTCTTCTTGTACTAGCTATCTTATTAAAGCTTCTAGTATTCCAGCTTTGGCCTCCTAATAGCTTGGCTGACCTTCACGCCCAGCTATAATGCAAGGAAAACCAGATGCCCCCTTCCTCCAGGGCCCCACATCAGGCCGAGTGACCATGGCACAGTCACTGTGTCCTGACTTTGGGCAGTGCCACTCCATCAATCTCTTTTTAGAAGACAGGAGGGTCTGGCAAGGTGCAGATGGGTGCCTGCACCACCCGATAGGGTGCTTGGGAGTTCTTGCAGGCCCACCTCCTAGTAGGGACACAATAGTCCTTGGTACACATTACAGTTACCCCCTTCTTGCAAGCTAAAGTATCCTCCCTGCTTGCTTTGTAGAATATGAGGGAAAGGCCTCTACTCATTTGATTTAGTCCTGTCAGCTGTGATGGTATCCCTCTGAATTAGAGTGTTGGGTGTGGGTGTGTGGGTCTGTGTGTTCAACCACTGTTTTTGGGGAAGGGCAGATGCTAGAAGGAAAAAGTGGTGTTTGTGAAAGGCAGATCTAACACCATCACCCACAGCCAGAGAACAAGATGCTTTTGCCTTTGTTCTTTCTTGCATATATTAATTATGAAAAGAGGCATTGTACTTTACCAGAGTTTCACAACCCCCCAAATCAATCAATTTCATCTTTCCTAAATTAAAAAAAAACACTTTCTTTTTCAAACTGGTTTTAAATAGCTGCTATTTCTTTTTGTCTTCATACTTTTGGGTTTTTTTTGGAATGCAGGGTATTTGTAGTTAAAGAGAAGTTTCCGTGATTGTTGCTCAGCACCCACAGCAGTTGTTTTTAAGTTTTTAATCAATTTCAATTTGACAAGTAGATCTTTTTTCCCTTTCGCAAACTAGGCAAGCAGGCACATCTTGGATTAGTATTAAAATACTAATCAGGGCATGTTTGGTGTGGAGGGGAAAAGCCTGGATGTGGTTTACCAAGAGTAATCTGAAATTTATTTCAACAGATGCAGTATAGTCCCTGGAAACTTTCAAACCATTTAGTCACTCCCGCATCTATCTCTCTCAAAACACTTGCTATATGAACTAAGTATGTTGAAACTACCCAACTCACACATACCAGCTGTTCAACTGAATAGTTTCTGCTTTAACAAAGATTCACAGTCAGGTTATGTAACATTCACTCTAGTTTATTAAGTAAAATTAATAAAACTAATCATCATAAATATGCTTTTTAAAGCCACTTAATCCATGCTTACCCTCCCAAAATCTCCATATGGAGCTAAATCAGTATTATGATTTCCATTTTATTAGGAGAGAGAGCGTATTTCAGTGGCTAGTCTTATCGAGGCCAAGTCTGCATTGCATGGGATGAGAACTGAGAACATCATTCCTGTGTCCATCTGTCCATCACTTCAGTTAATAATTCATTTTTAACGTCTTCACCAAGTTGAAGATTGTTACAGCTCCTCCTGCCCAGAAACATGCAACTGTCAAGAATAAATCTAAAAAAAAACACCCAAAAACACTTCAGACATTTAAATGGGCTCCAGGCAAATACATGATGTGCAAAGATGTTAGAGATATTCTATTTTTTCATTGTATTATGCAGTTGTTAGTAAAAGACCAGATGATGTCTCCTCCTTCTTTCTTGAATCCCCAGTTTTATGAAGGATGATAACCCAAGGGAAGAAAACACTCCACTGTCTACAGCTTCCTAATAATAGATGTGGTTATTACACAGGGTTAGTGCACAGAGACCACAAAATCATTTCATATAGGTCTGTGTTAATCCATGTTCTGTAAAATGTGAATACTTCCAATGCTTTGGCATTTGCTACCTAATTCTGGTTTTTTTCATTCCTCTAGGACAAAACTTTATTCCATCCGGTAAGCAGCAGCTGCATAGATTGCAACCCAGCTGAGAAGAAGATTTTCATGAACAGATGCGATCCTTTATCTGAAACTCAACAGTGGATTTTTGAACATATTAATATGACTGTTTTAGAAAAATTTAACAGCAAGGCCAGTTCCTAGAAAGAAAAAAAAAAAAGAGAAAAAATGAACACACCTATTTACGTACAGACTGCAGACTACGTTTTCGCCAGCATCTGGGTCAAAGGAGTCAGGAATTAAGTTTCCTAGATCCAGGAAATCTGTTCTGAGGATTAAGAAAATGCCACAGCAAGAGCCAGCAGGCTGTCCTTGTGGATGTACAGTATCTGGAGAACTTGGCCAAGAGCCTCACCGGATGCTGCTGAGAACTTCAGGCTGAAAATTCCCTTGCTGGTCAAGGGAAAATCTTTGTTTAAAAACTGTTTAAAAGTACTCCAAGTTAATAAAGTAAAACAAAACTCTAGTTTCTCAGGTCAAATCCTGCTGTAGTGAGTAGCTCAGAACAGGCGCTATAATTTGGGATGGGTATATGGTGTGCATGACAGCTACAGGAACCTGAAGAAATCCCAGGTTTTAGAACTAAACATGCTAGTAGAAGAATAATGATGTCCCAGCACTCCCTAAACAAGATATATGCTCTGTTGACATTCTCTTAATAAAAAGTTGGGTTAAGCAGGTTTAACCCTCAGAACTGCTGCAATTAATTTTAAATACCTCCCTTTTACATTCCATTCATTACCAAAATAGGAATGGTAGAAATTTTAGGGTCTAGAATTACACTGTAGTGAAGCATGGAATAAACTGTAAGGTTTTGTTCTCATATTTTCCCCTTCAGGAAAAAAAAGTAAAGCAATCAAATCTCTATACATGATATATTTAGCCATTGTGATTCAAATCCCATTGTCACATAAGGTGAGAGGGTTTTTTTAGTGACAAATATAACAGCAGCAGCTGCAGCATAGTGGAAGGCTCGTGGACTAGCTATCTTTTCTAAAGGTAGAATCCTTGCCAACGTATAAATTAAATTGAAAATAGGCTGGGAAAAAAATCGGGAGAGTAGGAAATAATTGCATACTGCATGCTGAACTAGATTAGTCAAATTAACAATGGTATGTTGCCATCACCTAAAAGTATGTTGACTCCCTGCAGTGCAGCTTGAAGGATCTTGCAGTGCTCTTGACAGATAGGAATGGAGAGAAAAAATGACATGAAATCAGTTGGGTGGTTTCAAAGTTTTTGAAATCTGTGATGGAAATCATGTGAACTTTGCAGAGTTAGCAAGTGAATGGTATCATAGATATGAGGAGGGAGGAAACAAGATGTGCAAACAAGTTAAATGTTAAATATTTTGACACTTTAGGCACAGGCACATTCACGGTAACACAGACTTCCGTCACCCAGATGATCATTATGGTGTCTCTCAGACTCATCAAGCCATTGGAGTGAGAGGCCTCTCAAACTTCTTTGGGAGGGTGTCTGTGGTTCTCCTCAGTTAATACTGATGTGTGGAACATGACTAATAGCTTTGAGATTGTTCAAGGTAAGAGCGAGTATAAATTTATATCAAATATGTGGCCTGCTTTTACTTGAAAGATGAATTCACAGATGAAAGTACCATAAATGCAGATAGATCACATGCTCTGTGCTGTAACTCCTTTCAGGTTCCAAATATAACATTTGTAGTTAAGTTGCTTATTCTGATTGCTGAAGAGGTGGCCGACTGACCAAAATACTGACGTGCAATCTACACTGTTTTGAGGGAGTGGAGTGACTGTTTTGTTTATTTCTCTTTAAGCTGTGTTTATGCACAAGAGCACTGATTGCATCCAGAGGATGGTTCTAATGCCAATAACTGTGCTATTTTATGGCAGCACCTTGTAGTTGCAGGTCATAGGAAATTTTTAGGAGGGAAATGAGATCCTGAACATTCAAGATGCATGCACTTGGAAAATTGTGAAATGCATCCATGTATTTAGCAATTGCTGCAAGTTAGTGAAGAAATCTTTCAAATAATTTGAAAGAAAAATATCTACAGAGATAGATTTCTCATTTTATGATTTTAAATAAGTGAGATTGTTCAAGTATTGTTTAAATTTGATTTGAAGATATGGTGCACTCGGGAACAGAAGCAGTAATGCTGCAGAGTGCGGATACTTCTGATTTGTTTAGCCATCAGTACACAGAACCAGTCTAGCAATGCAAACTGTCAGCCTTTCCAGGTGCAGCGCTCACAGCAGCATATATTTGCAGCTTGAACATGGGAAAGACGGTTTGGGAAAAAGAAGAAAATGGCTGCCTCAAATGCAAATGCAGCCCTCAAGCTGCTGATTGTAACTGGCCCCAAACTGTCAAAGTCCTGGAAGCAACACTGTATGCCCAAAATAGAGAGGCAAAGGTTGGATTGCTAAACCAGAACAGATTGGTAGGGTTATATCATTCAGTGTCTGACTGCATCTCAGTGGTCTGATTTTGAGATGTCTAATGGGAACTAGGCTGCTGTTGGGGCAAAGAACTTCTGTGCCTTTTACAGCCCTCGTTGAGTAATATTGCACAGTGCCTTGCACTGCCAAAGGAAACCTTCCCCTTACTTGTAGCTGATCTCTGCTTGTAAACTCTAGCAGTCCTTGTCAGAAAACATAACTAATTTTCAGGTGTTCTGGGGAAAGATAATAGTCCTTGCACAGGATTCCTGCAACAAAATTTTATTAATAATAAATGATCATCGCTACCTCTCAATTAAATTCTGTCTTGGGTGTTCTCCAAAGGTTTCCACTGTAAGAATATTTCATTACTAATTTATCATTCTGAATTTCTTTGATTCTTTCTACAACCGTATCTTTTCCACCCAGCAAACTTATGAACAACTTGGTAGGATGGACAGATGTATCTTCCTCTCTTATTTCAGCAGGAGAATTTAACTCTAATATGTGTTTCTTCAAAAGACTGAAGTTTCTTCCCAAAATTTTTTTTTAATACCAGATAGTTCTGAACATATTTTAAGTGTAGAGCACAGCGACATTAAGTAATGTGGGCTTATCATTTCAGTGAAGTTATACTGATTTCCCCAACTAATGACTTGCTTCACTTTTTTTCAATTCATTATTTTTTGGCTGAGAGGGCTTTAATCAACATGCCTTAAAAGAAGATCTTTGTATTGTAAGAGTTCATCAGCACCTACTCTAAATTTTTTCCCGTTAAAGTTATCTGACCTTTTTTTGTGGCCAGCAAACTACTATGATAGGAGAGAGCAACTGGAAAAGCTGGAATGAACTCCAAGTGCAACTAAAACTCTAAAATCACACATTTCCCTGCATGTATTCTAGAATCTAAATTAAACAGAGGCCTTGAGGGACAGGGCTTAAAGGAGAGAGGAGAAGCTGGGAAACAAAATGTTTCATGTGTGGGAGAGCAGCCTTGTTGCAGAAGCATAAGGCATCACTTTTCACTGGCCACAGTCTTATTTCAGAAAAATGAGATTGCTTTAGAACAAATGTTTCTGCAACAGTATGGATATTTTCATGATAATAATGCATTATTCTTGGGTTTTATCTGTTTATGAATAAATGGTCTGTAGCTGCTGAACTAAGTGTGCCTCACCATAAAGATAGACTAAGTTTGAAAGGAAGCTGACAAGCACTTAACAACCTTTGATTACTGGCTATTTACCAGGTATCAATGTCTCCATGACCTCAGTGAAATCAGATGCCACAGAAGATCATAGAAGAATAGTATATAAATAGCTTGACCAAATTGATTAGACGGGTTGCACTTCTGCAAGAGTGGATGTTACCTTTGTTTAAAAAAAAAAAAAACTCATAATCACAATTTATTTGCATTTTTACTGATAATTTCTGCAAGGGAGTGAGTGAGAGGGACTGTTTTAACCTACCCAGATGGATTGGGGATGGAGCATTTTAGGAAGGCAGCACTGGGAGGCTTTCAGTGTGGCTGACAGCAGGGATGCATCCATTTTCTATTTAAAGAGCATCTATAATGCTGTTAACCTAGCATTTTTTGAGAGAATGCAGGATGTACAAAATTAAAAAAAAAAAGACAATGATTTTATTTTTCTTTTTAATCCATCAAGGTTGTTTGGGAAATAATTTCAAAACCTTTGAAAACAAAACAGGCTGATCAGAAGTAACTTTTATTATAGCTGGTATTAGTATTATAATGTTCATTAATTCATTTGTTTAACCCCCTTCCAAATCTGTTTCATATCCTGTTAGAAAGAGCACAAGAGTCCAAGAGTGCTTTTACATAATGTTTTCAGGATCTTACCCCGTCTGAAAGTTTTGAAAGGCCTTTTCAAAATTAGCAAATATAAACCAAAAGGTAACAAGGAAAAACACTTGGCTATTATGTCTAGTCTACCAAAATATTTTGCCAAAGTTGTGCAAAAATAATATATTTTAACTGGAAATTTTTAGATTAATAAGTAATATAGTTTAGTAAGTCTTTAGTGTCTGGTGCTTTCTATTGAAGAATTTTAATTTTTAAAAAAAATGAATTTGTGTGGTTAGTTGCTGACAGGGTTTTTTTTAACCACATGTAATACATAAATCTGTCCTGAGGTCTCCTGTAATCTCATATTTCCTTATCGTAATTCCTAATGCACTGAATTTAAGAAAATGTGAACATAGGAAAAAAAACTCAAAAAAGTAAGAAACTTGTGTAAAAACAAACAGTGAGAATGTGTAGCTAGAGATGTTGAGAAAAATGCATCACATTTCCAAAGCTTCAGCTGCATTCAGAAAATACGTGTGCTTTGTGTGGTGGCTTTCTGTTCTTTCAGTGTATCATTAATATTAGTGGTACTACTCCTGAGGCAGGCCTTCTGAAAATGGTGTTGCTAGCATTTGGTACAATAGGTGGACAGCATGGTGCTAGAGGAAAAAATCTAGGAACCGCTCCTGAAAAAATTGCATTCAAACATTGCAATCTGATATGCCTTAAGACCTTAGCTGTTTTTAAGATTTCTTTTATCTTAGTATTTTTTTACAGGACCTGGTAGTGCAGTAGGTGCTTCAGTGGCCCTTATGAAAACAATGCAGACAACGGGAACAAAGAGGACACAGGTGATTACCTAAAGGTGTGGTTACTGCAGCAATGTCAAGGTTAATTATACACAAAGAGAAGTTTATTTTGTGTGGCCACTGTAGTAAATGCCCAGCTTAACAGAACAGATGAATGAGAAGGAACCTTGCAAAGTGGGGCTGCAGAAAAGCTTGTACTCAATAGAAGATGTAGAAAAAGTCCCAATGGTCCATTTTAGAGAAGCAGATGAACAGGGTGTTGAGATGGATATCATAGACAGTGTAAGGGATATGAGGGGAGCTGCAAGTGAGGCAAGTCTGGTAAGTAAGGCTACTGTCTAAAAGATATTAAGACATAGGAAAGGAAAACTTGGTCCTCATTAACCTTAGCCCTCATTAACCTTGGCAGGATCCCTAACACTTTGTCAAAGTATTAGTTGATTTAATTAAGTTAATCCTTCATCTCTCCCAGTAAATGACTCAACCTGGAAGAAACCACAGTTCAAGCAAATTTCTGTTTACCAGTCTGGAGCATCTAATCGGCAAAATATGCCGCTAGCAACAGTTTGGACAAAAATCTCACCTGGCACTAGAAATAAAACAATATTATCAGACTGAAAGATCAGTAGACCTCTGGCATCCCTCTTCGAAAAAAAGATTTCATTTGCCTAAAGAACTGATTGATGGTAATGATCCTAGATTAAGAAGATCAGGAATTGTGAGCTTTCAAGGAGGTGAAAGGCCAAATGGTGAGATTAGGACTTGGCAGTTTAATTGAGAGAGGAAGGAGGAAATAGGTGGTAAAAGGGAAGAAGCAGGAATCAGGTTTAATTCTGTATATGAAGGAAATATGACCTACAAAGGTCAGTCACTGATAATTTTGGATACTTCTTCATAGCAGAGCTTGCATGTTTATTTCCATCACAAATATTCAGTAATTGAGAGGCAATCAAGTCCTCTTGCAAGGACTTAAATTTAGAATAGAAACTGGATAATCTGAAATGTATTGATTGTGAAATACATGATGGCAACTAGAGAAAAGCTTTGCTGGACCCCAAGTTTGTTCTGAGTTTTTCACCAAAGGTATGTGTGGACGTTCCTGAGGATACTTTGTGGGTAGTATGTAGAAGCAGAACATTATGGTCACTGTTTTACCTCAGATTAATATCTCTCTATATCTCAGGCTTTCTTGAAAGAGGAAAAGTGTTTAGCTAAATTTTTCAGGAAATGTCAACTCGGATCAGTGCAAAATAGCTCTGCCTGCTCCCTGTGTGGATCAAGATAATAAGTGTTTCTCCTCAGACATCAAATACAGCTCTCAAAAAAAAAAAAAGAATGGTATGGCTCTGCCTTCATGGCTCCTTGCAATTCAGTTATTTTATTTATTTTTTTCCTATTTGGTGTTTCTTCCCTTCTACTGGCTTCCCATCTGCAGGATTCTGCCAGAATGCTGTTTCTCTTTCTTCCCACCTTTCTGGTTTGTGCCAAAGGTGTTTCTGCTGTTGCAGACCCCCTTCTCAAGATAAAAGTGACTAAAACTGCTTTGATCTTGACTGGGCAGAGCCACAAGCCTTTCTGCCTCAGGGTACATGGTTTACAGTGGTTTGTGCTAACAGTGGGATAGGGAGGAGAAATGCACCTGAGAAGTTCTATCCTTATGGGCCAGTCTCACTCCAGATTTCGTTCATGGAAAAGTTATAGCTCATAGCACAGAGAGTCAAACATCCTTGAGGGAGAAAATTGCATTGGTGATCTACTTTCTCACCCATCTTCAATATTCAGAACTGCCCAGAGAAGGAAGTATGTAAGAACAGGAAGCATCTTAGTCAGTGGATATACTTTGTACTAATGTATAGAAGCAGCCAAACTTAGTCTGGACATCAGGTTTTCATCTTTTGATTATCCGTATTGAGCTAACACAGATACAAGAAACTGAGCAGAATTATATTAAACTGTGGTTTGTGAAAGCCACCAAGGGATTATAATAACTTTAACTGAAGGCATTATTGCAAATCTGAAATGGATGCATAATCTGTGATGAATGCATGATACAGGTTAACTTCTAGTCAAGCTGCAAAGAGTCAGAGGTGTTGGTTTTTTTTACAAAAACACAAAAAGAGAGAGATTATCCAACACGCAGCAGCTTTTGCTTACAGATGTACAGGGCTCCAGTTTATTCCCCAGCATGTCAGCAAAGTTAATATCTATAATGATTCCCATTATCAAAGCAACATTCGCAGAGATGGCAGTAAAACATCACCTTTTCTTTCCTACTAGACAGGAATCCTTTCACTGGTTTCCTATTTGGTTTTATGCACCTCCAGAGTCATTTATTTGTAACCAGAACATATGGATAGAAGTTGTACCGTGTCCCTTCACTAAACAAGTTCCTAGGAAATCAGAGTACCAGTGTAAAGGCTGTACAAATGCACTTTTAAAAGAATTGTAAGCCAAGGAAGGGGGATTTCATACGAAAGAAAAGTATGGACATGAGCTGGCAATGTGTGGTCGCAATGTGCACTTGCAGCCCAGAAAGCCAGTTGTATCCTGGGCTGCATCAAAAGCAGCGTGGTCAGCAGGTCAAAGGAAGCGATTCTCCCCCTCTCCTCCACTCTCATGAGACTCCACCTGGAGTGCTGCATCCAGCTCTGGGGCCCCCAGCACAGGAAGAACGTGGACCTGTTGGAGCGAATCCAGAGGAGAGCCACCAGGATGATTAGAGGGACAAAGTACTTCTCCAGTGAGGAAAGACTAACACAATTGGGTTTGTGAAGCCTGGAAAAGAGAAGGATAAATTCTTTACTGTGATGCTGGTGAGGCGCTGGAACAGGTTGCCCAAAGAAGTTGTGGATGTCCCATCCTTGGAAATGTTTAAGGCGAGGTTGGATGGAGTTCTGAGCAACCTGGCCTAGTGGAAGATGTCCCTGGCCATGGCAGAGGGATTGGAACTAGATGATCTTTAAGGTCGTTTCCAACCTAAACCGTTCTATGATTCTAAAACTTGTTTTCCTTTATTCCTGTCATATCAGCCTCCCTATTGCAGCTACTGCTCTGCATCAAAACATGTAATGTTAATCTACACCTAGAAGAGTAATGATGCTTCATCAGGGCTCTGCTGCCAGTTTTTCTTACAAATCTGCACCATAGCTATATAAACCCATTCTTTGGGGGTTGTTCTCCACAGTTGTTGTCCTGGCAAGGGGTACATTCCTTCCAACTTTGGCCTGACCTGCAGTTTTCCACCTCAAACTCTGTTGGCTGAAGTAGCTCGATATTGCCCAGCTCTCCAGGTGATGTGGTTCACAACACATCTCTCAACACTTCACAGCAGTCCAGTCCACATAAACACACACATGCACGGTTTTCCAAGCATTAGGTGGCAAAATAGAAACATGTGGTCCCTTCTGAGTCTCTGAGTTGCTTCTATTTATCAACTAGCCTTTCTGATGGTCAGACTATTTTCTAGGCATCTTTGTGAATACCCTTTCCTGCAGGTATCCTGCAAAACATCCATTTCTCTCACTTTTCTGAGAGTCTGGAATTAAAGCCTTCACTTGCTGTTAAACAACATTCGGGACAAAACATTCCCTGGCAATTAAACTATTATAAATTATATATAAAGGGCCAAGAGGAGCTGAAGACAACTTTGTGTAATCCCTGTCCAATATCCCAGTAGGCAAGACAGCCAGTAATGATCTGGGCTGATAGGCAGCTGGTAGAGCTCAGCAAGTAAAATGGAGTTGTCTAATTTTCTGTGAATCAAGGTCAGATTCTTTGGTTATTGGAATTTAGGAAATATAGCTTTCTGAAAAAATGGGGAAAATGTTTTCAGGTGTGTGCATTTGAAGTATTATACAATAGACTACAATTAGTAATATATAAATTATAATAAGTAAAGGAAAATATACACTTCTGTGCTGACTGGTCTAAGATCGTTGGTTTAGATGTTATTAAACAACAGCTGTAGAAGCTTTGACCAACTTACTAATGCATAAAATAAAGTTTTCAAGACGTGCTTAAAGGGTTTAGAGAGAGCACATGCCTGTAAATTTCTGGACTGTAATTAAGAAGCTAAACTATGGAATAAAAATTGTACGCCTGTCCTATTTTATATTTGGATGTATTATGTTACAGAATACAAAGTAAAAGATTGCTAAAGAGCAGTTTCAAAAAGATTACCATGATGTGAATGAATAAATACCTCTCAGAAGCTACAGCATTAATTTTTCAGTTTGTGGTACATCTACTGCTGCTAAAATAACCTGCTGTGGGTGGGCGAAGAACCAGACAAGCCCAACCAGCTGCAGGGCTTCCCAGGGCCATATGGCTGCTCGTGTTTCCACAGCCCCCAGCCATGCCAGCTGTGTAATATCAACAGAAAGAGAAGCCAAAGTCCTCTTCTTTAACAAAGAGCACTGTTAGCTCTGGCAACACCTTAAATCATATCTTGAATGGCCACTTAAATAAGAGGCAAATACAGAAGTGAGGACAAAACAGATGTACTGGTGTAATAGTCCTCGAGTGACAAGTAAGGAAGCATTGAAAAAGTTCATGAGAACTTGATTCCAGTAAAAAGTCATGTAAGTCAAGATTTACTTGTTCCACTTCCATGCCAAATTTAAAAAAAAAGCCACAATAACAACAACAAAAAAAAACCTCAACCTAGAAATTCCCAGCACTGCTGGTTCTTTTTCTACCTACAACTAATAAGACATAAAATACATCGTCTTCCTCAGGAGGATTAACTGCAGAAGTTTAAGAGTCATATAGAAGAGCATGATTAGTCAATCAATCACCTTCAAAGACTAGGGAAGGAAGAGTTGCTTATTATGTATTATTTATCTTAAAGGAATTATTTTTCTTTTTCTTTTTTATTTTTATCTCTTTGCCTTAAGCCCTATAACTAAATTTTATGCATACCCATACACTTCAGTTCTTCAGTGCTGTACCTCTATCCTAAAAGCTTCTAATCTAAATTGGTTATTAAATTCATCCTTGACATCCACTACATATGGCATAGTTGAGGTAGGTTTTAACTGGACACAATCTATTTTTTGTTTATTCAGGCAGCTTTCTGAGGGAGCAGTTAAAGTGAACATTGCTTCCAAAGACCTCTGAACATCAAAAATAGCAAAACTAAGAAAACTATAAGCATGCATTGAAAACATGTGAGCGTTCCTTGTCTAGAGAGCTTAAAAGGGTACTGTAGTCCAATGCAAACTGAAGACATTCACAATCAGGAAAAAAAAAAGTTATTTTCTACCTAACCTTTCTACTTAAGCTGTTCAGGACTAATTTCTTACAGGCAGTTCTACTGAACAAACCTGGTAAATATCTTCCAATAGTGATGATAGACTGAAACAGAGATTATAACAACAAAACAAATTATAAGTGAGGGGGATGTACCAATAAGAAAAACTTCTATCAAGTCCTTAATGAGACTGGAGTCATTAACATTACAGGCACTATCCTTAGTGAGGGAACAACTAGGAACAAAGAAAAATTATTATTAAAAGAACAGTAAAGTGCTTTAGATACATCAAAATCAATTAGGCATTAGTTTTAATGTAGCCTAAATTTAAAAGCTGTAAAACAACAGAGAATTTTCCCATTTGTATCATTTAGAGTTCACAGCCGGAGGAAAACACCATGTATAAAGAAACCAGAGAGCCTTGTGTGAATTGTGTGTCAATTATCTAATTATCTTTGATAACATCAGGTGCAAACCTTCAAGGAAAAAGCTTTAAAGAGCTCTTGCAGGTAAGAGTGCATCAGGAGGGTAATAAGACTTTAAACAGGAGGAAAAGAAAGTAGAAGGAACTGCATCTTGCTCTGAAATGAGTGTGCTGTCTCCGCAAAGATCAGTGACAGACAAGAGTTACATGGTAGTTACTGGAGCATGTTTATTAACTCCAAATGCAGCTTTTTGGTGTGGGAAGAGGGACAAGAAGACTGGACACGTTTCTGCTTTGTCTTTTCTTTTACTTCAAGGCTGAGATGCTGCCACATATATTCCTGCTAGTCAAGAAAGGGAGGATCCAAGTCTGGCTCCTACCTTCTGGCCTCCCTTCGTCCTCTGCGATGCCTGCGGATGGGGAAGGGTGAGGGCAGTTTGTGATCCTCCCAGGTGGGCAGCTCTTTGCAGAGGCAGGAGTTTTCTCTGAGAGAGGAGGTCAGCAGCAGCTACAAGATCTCAGCCTACAGATACAGCTCTACCATAGCAGCAGCCATTTGTAAGTGCTTGAATAGGGCAGCTGCCCTTGAATTTCCATCATGAAAAGCCATCAGTCTGTGAAGTATTTCTGTACATTAGCTACCTAGTGGTGGTGCTTACATCCTGACTTCTGACTGGTAATTCTGTGCACCGGCTGGAAATGTGTTGCTATTCTGCACAATGGGTAATGCTATGAGCTCTAGACAACAAGCTGTCCCAGCTGGGTGAGAAGGAGACGGGTCTCTGTGCTCCTGGTCAGCAGCAGTATCTCCTCTTTGGTATTGAAGGGGAATTGTAGTGACCTCTTCAACTGGAGGCCTTGGTAAGTGGATTCAGAAGATGGTATCTGGTGGGGTGTTTGTATGTGGATGATTACTCCAACTAGCTTATTTCTTTTTGGCTTTCAAGATGAGGGGAGAAAATGGGTGTTTTTAATACTGTTTTTAATTCTGCCAGAGTAAGTGATTCTCAAGTGACATTTACTACTGTTTTAGTTAAACATGTCTCCTGATTTAGAACTAATGAGCTTCTACATCAAGGAAATTCCAGGGTAAACTTAATTTTGGCAGGGGGGAAGCAAAACTGACAAGTAGAAGGACAATGTCTCCCAACAGTGTCTCTCAACTTCCCAGAGAAGTGGGAAGAGTTGAGAAAGTGCCACTGGGGGACTAACCCCAGTAGTAGCACCTTCAAGGTGATTACTTGCAGCCCTTTGCCAGAGGTTGGCTCTGTAGCTACTGCCTGAACTAGAGGAGAAAATGCCCCCTATATCTGGATTACTTGGTTATTCTTATCTCCTCGGTGCTTCCCAGTACCCAAACTGAGAGCAGGAAACCAGTCATCATTGGACATCCCCCTGAAGTGCTTCTTTAGGCCACCCCACATGCTACAGGTGACCCAACAGGGTCCATGCTGGCACCACCAGGACAGGAGAGTGCAGTCAGAGGAGGAACTGCTAGCTTCTCATGGTCCCACACAGCAACAGACTATACCAAAGATTACTTAAAGTCTTTTGCAGATTCATGCTCAGGGTTTGGTTGTATGAGGTTTTTTTAGCTGTCTCACTCAGGGGTTCCTGTTTGTACCTCCTACTTAGTGACCAGCTGTGGCTTCACCATTTTCATGCCAAGAAACCTACATTTGCAGCCCTCTCAGAAGATATGACCCTGACTCTCCAAAGACTGGGACACACAACTGAAAAAAGACCACATCAACCCAAAATCAGGTCAGTGATTAAACTTCTTCATGTTGGCATGTCAAGTGTCAGTATCATAAGGGTGCTCATGAAGTCATTTGCAGTTGTAGACCTGAGAGCAAGAACTGTCTATTTAACTGTTTCTGAAATAGCAGCTTGGGGGAGGGGAAGGTGGGGAAGCAAAGCTCTTCTGTTAAGAAATGCAAGATACTAGAAGTGTGAATGTTGTTTCCGGAGCTGCCACATTCTGATTTCCAGTAAATTAAAAGCAACAACCATAAATTTTGTGTCCTTTATGCTAGCTGCTTGTGGTGTAGGGAATGTTGCTGAACTTTTGTTCCATGCAAAAAATTTTTCTCTTGCATTAGACCTTCACTTGACTCATTATTAGATAATCTTCAGTGAGCTTACACCTGAAAGGCTGAAGCTGTGGTGATTCTTAGAACAGTCTTGTCAATGCATGTGTGATGAAATTAAGGGAAGTCTAGCTATGAATGAGGTCTGTAACATTTTCAGTTCCCCTGAGAGATTCCATCAAAGTAAATCTAAAGTAAAATATTTCCCTTCTTAAAGCACGTTTGAAGCAAGGGAAACTAAATATTTATCTATTGTTTGCCTGCCATGATATTCTTTACTTGGTGTCTGAGCACAGTGGTTGGCATATACAAATACAGCAGCTCATTTTTTAAAAAAGCATTGTCTTTTATGATTAATAAAGATAACAGTTTGCATTTCAGATGAAGAGACAACAGTTTATCACAAAATATTTACTCTGCCCAGAAGAGCAGCAATTTACAGACCATTTAACAGCAGTGTGTGTATACATTTAAAAATTACATTTTTTTTTTAAAGTAAGGGTTTTGTTTGTGTGCTAAGCAGTTTTCTGTAAGTAAAAGGATTAGATTTTGTCTGGCATCTTTGAATTTATATTCTGTGAAAAGCTGTAGTGATTTAGATCTTAGTTTTTATAGCATGTAGCATGTAAGGCGTGTTTAACTTCTTGTGGGGGTTTTTTGGAATTTTTTTTTTAATAGATCATAGTCTTTATTTCCTTCTCTGGGAAGGGTCAGCACAAGCTCATAAGTGTTCTGCTCTTAAGCAGCATAGGAAACTTAACCTCTTTGCCTTTTTTAGTTTAGTAGTCTTACACTATTCACCAACATTCACCAAACAAGAACATTTTCACTGAGAATGGACCTTAGTCACTCTCTTTTCTCTGGCTTTAAAAAAAACCACAAAACAAAACAAACAAAAAACCCCAAACAAACAAGCCCAAACCACAAAACCCCAACTAACCAAACAACCAAAAAAACCCCACATGATCTCAAATTTCCTCATCAGTTGACTGGAGGACAAAAATCCTCCACACAGCACCTATTTTTTCAAAAATTATGGAGAAGGGGAGGAATCAGAAGGGAGCAAGAGGGGCTAGGAAGAGTCAAGTTAGTGCATAGCCCTTGGGCAGACTCTTGCCATCTCTTGCTCCATGTCCCGTGAGCTGAGGGAACTGGCACAAGGGAATTTTGTACTGCTGTCATTAGAGTGCATCTGGTCACAAAACTGTATGGTAGGCCTCTCTTTAAGCTTTATTGATTGTAACGGTGAGAGCTGTGTGCAAGGACCAAATATGAGCTTACTTGCACGGAGATGTTCCTATCTGAAAAGCCAAATGCCAGAGAAGGTTCTTGGGCTCCACAATGCTTGATGACTTGTGAATCTGACTGTGAACAGCAGCTGCTTATGGGCTGGGGGCAAGAAGTCTGATAGCTCTTAATGAAATAAAGTTTGCGAGGAGAATGTCTATTGGTAC